AATCTATATTGTGAGGTATTTCGAGGGCTGAAAAGGTTGCATCTCATTTGGCTGAAACAGCATATGTACATTTTTATGTGGGTATTATTTCTCTAAATAAGATGGTACTTAAGTACATTTATTAATCTCCAGGTTAGAATTGATTACGAATGTCGATATACATTAAAGAAATAACAGAAAAAAGGATTTTGCCTGAGATTATAAAGATCAGTGTGATACCAAAGACTAAAATATGTAGGGTATAGCTTTTTTTGTTTTCTGTGACTTTATTAAATATAATAACTTTATTTCTTAAAATATTAATAATGTTTAAAAATATCAGAACTTCCAAAGTTTGAGTTTTATACGTAGAAAAGGCTATTTTCTAACTATGAACACTCAGAAAATGTTATTTTTGTCTATTACCGCTTCCTAAAGAACAGAGGTAGCAAAAAACAGTATCATAATCATGTTTCTTGTGACAAAATGTTAAAGAAACCTAGTTATTATTAGAAATCTGATCAAGGAAAAAAATCTTTTCTCCTTTTCTTAAAAATTTGTGCAGAAACTGCACATTACAAAATACAGAAAAGAAAAGGGTTAAATAATGGCAAACAGGTAGAGAAGTAATGGGAGGCAGACCTGTGACTTAAACTGATTTTCTAGGTGCATGTCCTCTGTCTTATCATCTAGCAAAGCTTTGAAAAAAATTGTAGGCTTTTTTTCTGGAAATTAAATTACTTTTTCTTTCCTTAGGTATTTCATTATGTTAACTGCATATGGCTCAATCTCTTAATCTATTTCATTATCACTATTTTCAAAAAAGCATCTGTTCACAGATATAGGCCATATGACTTAGTGAGCATTTCAGGAAGTTCTAGGTCATATTTTATGATGAAAATGGTTTTGACTCTTGGAAAATTTCTCATCGTACACATACTACTGTGAGATTTCTATCCAGATCTGAAATAGAATATATTTCTCTGAATATATACAACATACAAGACTCATTCTATTGGCAGCTGCATCTGTTTATTATCTTTACATTTGGAAAAAATAGAGGGGAGAGAGACATGTACACCCTTCCTCAAAGCTATACCCAATTGTGTTAAAAGAATGGATATATATTTTATTTTTATTGTGTAGGTTGAGATTATTTTTCTCTTCATAGTCATTTACATTTCAGGTTCTACCTATTTCATATGCATTTTTTTGATAATGATATGTCTGTGATTTGTTAACCTGGATGATGTGCTGTTACTAGCTACATATTAGCGCCCTTAAGAATACGTGATGTGTTTTCTGCAGTCTAAACTTATTTACTATCATTTCCCCACAAAAGACCTTTATTTTTAAAATTGTGACCACGTCTTTTTGCCCTGCGTTGTATGTTCTGAACATGAGGAAGACTGTCCTTTATTTCCCCTGAAAGCACTGTACTTCAGAGCAGCTACCCACCAGAACACCATCAGCCGCTGAGATTGTAAGGGACCCAGATTATCTCTACTGCTCTTGTTCTCTATCTTAAATGTTGATTACATTATTATTATTTTTCTTCTTAATTTTTTTCTTTTTTGGGGGACCTTAACAAAATTATGTAGAGGTCGTCAAGTAATTGACATATTCTACCACGTGTTTGGACGTTATTTCTTATATATAAATTGTAGTTCCTAATGCAGGTTGATATATAGTCAATGACTATTACTTAGAAAAGTTTCATATATTAATTTTTAAGTACATGTGCAATAAGTATAGATAACACAAAGGTTAACAGCCAAGGAAATGAAAACAGCATATTAATCAGTTTTACTTCTGTTTCTAATTTTACATTTAGTATTAAACCTCATCATAAGATACACTGTTTAACATCCCTATATAGAAATTGATAGAATCCTTGTCTAGGTAGGAAATATGAAACTAAAATTTAAATGTACCTGTGAAGCTTATATCATGACTTAGATGTTTGTGGAAAAAGCAGTAGCTTCATAAAAAAAAGTTGGACTTTAAAAACTAGAGAAGCTGTGTTATATGCAGACGGCTACAGAGCATAGTAACTTTTGTGGAAGAAAATGAACAAGGGACTTGCAACACAATGGGGCAAGACATAAGTTCTTTTTTCTGGTTCCTAGTTTTGATAAAGTGTGTGTCCTTGGGCAAATTATATGCTTCTCTGGGAATACCTCCAGATTTATTATGGGATCCATTAGACTTAGAGCTGTTCAGTTTCAAAGACTTGACGTAATTTAACTTTATATTCCCTGTGTGTATGTGAGAGTGTTTTGCAAAGTACTCTACAAGTATAAACACTGTTAAGTATGTATTCTCTCAGCTTCCTGTATTAGTTCTTAAGTAGTAGTCATTTTAATTGATAGCAATAGAAAGTCTCAGCTTCCTCATGGACTTTGTTTGTTTCAGTTTGTTTCATTTGTAAACAAAAAGTTAAATGCAGGACCTCCTAGCTGGCATAAAGCCAAGCATGTACAGAGCTCATTGTAATAATAATGGCTTGTCTTCAGAAACAAAGGATTGTATCGTATTTTGTGAGTTTTGAAGGGAGTGGGTGAAATATATTTTTCCCACAGAAATATTGCTGTGAGTGGTGGCTTTGTTCCTAGGCCACTCTGCGTATTTCTGTTTAACTCATGTACCTTAAACTTATAGTGGTAAGGAGATAGTCCCCAGTTTTAGACACTTACAGGCCCAGATATATTTTTAATCACTGAATTTGTGAGAACCTCACTACATGTTTCAAGTAGGGGTTATAAGAACATATTTTGCTACTCATCCTTCCTTTCTGCCACTCACAAGCAGTGGCATAAAGAGGGTAGAGTAGGGATCAGTCCTGTGGGTTCCAGAAGTTTGCTTACTCTGTGGCTGCAATAAAAGAAGACAGTTCTCTAGACTGGGAACTCAAAGTCAGAGGCAGAAAGTTATTCCTCTCTGGTGTCATGGTTGAAGTGTCCAAATTCAAGTTTACTCTTGTTAATTCAAAAGAATGGCTTACAGCCATGAGCACCCATAGCACCCAGACTCTAACCTTTAAATGCCATTTCCCATGTAAAGAAACCAGGATTAAAAAAAAAAAAGAAAGAAAGAAAAAAAAAAGAAATGGCTGATTCCACGTTTGATGCAGAAAAATTCTAAGTTGAAATGAGACATCTTATTGTGCCAAAAGCATGAGGCTTATTAAACACTTCTGAGTTGATGTCAAAGGACACAGCAGTCAACTTGAAAGGGCTACCACTGGTAACAGAATGAAGTCATTAAAAAAAAAAAAACTTTATTTTGAAAATTTCAAACATATACAGAGGAAAGAGAAGCTTGTAAAATCCTCGGGGCCTTTTATGTAGCTTTCACCGATTATCAACTCATGGCCAATCTTATTTCAGTCCCAGTCCCACCTATGCTGTCTCTCCACCATTAAGTTATTTTGAAATAAATACCCAAAAGCATATCATTTAATCTAGGAATATTTCAAGATATATGAGAATATTTCAAGATCCTGTCCCAGTTTGTCAAGTTATTGGGTAAAAGATAAGGACTATTTTAAAAACATAGTACATTTCAAAAATGGAACAATTTGAACATCAAGAAGAGGAATTGTAGTGAATTGAACAATATCAAATATCTACTAATAATGGTAATTTTAAAAACCTTCATGACTTGCCTTTAGAAATTGTTAGGACACTAACTAGCTCATCACTCTGAAAATTGTTAAATAAAAGGAAAGAAATCAAGGATTTGTCCTGTCTTTCCTGTACATTGTATTTTGGAATAGTCAAATAGTTGATAAGGTAAAGCTCTTCTTTGTAGAATGCCAGCAAATAAATATAGAAGGAATGCTCTACAAAAGCATAATTAGTTAGCCCCTAATGAAACAGTGGATTTAGCCAGTGGTTATCATGGAATGCTAAAACCTTCAAGTCAAAAGTTGATTAGGAAATGTATAATGGTTGGCTCAACAAATCATACCTGAAGTCATTAATCAATCTTAGTACCACCAAAAATGAGATATTAAAACATTATGTGCCTACACATGTGATACAGTAAAAATGCACATATCAATACCCATGTAATATTATTGCCCAAAACAAAGGAAGATGAAAAAGAAACTGAGGCCAAGCTTCCAGTTGTAGCTACCAATTTATAGTAAATGAGGACAGGGTATAGGAGAGGGAAGGTTGAACTGAGTCCCCTGAAAGAGACTTGAGAAACACATCAACCAAATACGATATTAACTTTGTTGGGATTCTGATCCAAAGAAGCAAACTAAAAAATCTGGGGAGGAATAGAGGAATACGAATTTGGCCTGAGTAATATAAGATATAAAGAACAATTATTAATTTTCTAAATATGATAATGATATTTTGGTTATGTTAAAAAAAATGTTTAAAATACATAGTGAAGTTCTTTAGGTGAATCAATAGGTTGCCTGGGATTTGCTTCAAAAAGTGATTCAAAGTTTGACACCCAGATTCAGCAGTATTGACCTCACCTAAGAGCTTGTTAGAAATGCAGAAATTCAGGCCCAGAAACACTATAGAACCAGAATCTACACTTTTACATTTGTTTATGTCCCTAGAGATTTGTACGCACATAACGATTTGAGAAGCACAGCTTTAAAATACCTGGGGTAGAGGAGAGTGTGGGTCAGGGATGAAAGAAACAAATTGGTAAATACTGATAATTGTTGAAACTGTGTAACAGGTGCATGGGGGTATGATAGGTCAAGTATTTCTAAATCAGGACCTGAAGGACTATGTGACTGTGCCTATGTATTCAATCCAGTTATTTGTGTTTTTTATTGGTGTTCTTTATTTATAAGTGTTGAGGCAAATATACCTTATTGCCTCCCTTTCTTCCTGTCCCAGTTTGTCAAGTTATTGGGTAATATTCAAAAACCCTGAATGCATATTTCTTGCAAACGTGTTTCTTATCAAATCACGTCGTTTCTTTGAAATTTGCTCAACAGCGTTCTTTTAAACTACCAATGCCAATTTATTGTCAATCTGTCTCTCCAGGCACGCTTAAAAAGGCCTCTTAAGAGCCTTGATGGTGCTCTATATGATGATGATGATGATGATGACATTGAAAGAGCAAGCAAGTAAGTAATGGATTTTGGTGTCCTGTGAAGCCGTATGGCTTAACAGCAGAAGTTTTTGGTTATGAAGGGTATTTCGAAGAATATGCGCTCCTAGAGCTCAGATGTTGTTCTTTTACAGTGTTCTTCAGCAAAAGGACCCAGTGGTACTTGGAATGTTGTGGGGGATATCTTGGGACAGGAACTAAGATGGATCTTAAATATCTTGTTCTTGGAAAACAATAATGTCTACAGAGATATCTGGGATAGTGTTAGGGGAAGTAGAGGTCCATCTTAAATTAGGCTCTTACTCATTCTGAAGAGAGGAAGGTTAAATATCAGGAACGGTGATAATAGTCAATAGAAAGAAATGGAAATGAGGGCACAGGAGACTTAAACCTATGGTGATGTCAGAAGATGAAAATGTATTAAAAAGCATTAAAAATTAATTTTAATAAGGGAAATAATAGATGTTTAGCTTTTTACAGTTGATGTATGTCAGTTACAAAATGAACATTCTTTTTTCTTCATTAAATATATTTCTATGTAAAGGAATATGCATTCTCTAAAATAAGTAAATGGGGAAACCATATTAAATATTGAAAGTGAATTTAGGCTATAGTAAACTTTCCAAGTATTCAGTCCAATATTCGTAAGGAAAGGTTCCAAATTCCACAGAATTAAACTGTGAAAAGCCCTAATTCTACTTTCAGTTTTATAAGGTACCGTAAACTTTTTGTTTATTTGTTCTTAATGCATGTACAAAATATTTCTGTATTTGAATTGGTATATACATCACTATAAAGAATTTGGTCATGAACCAAATTGATTTTGTTGTTAACTCTCTCATTAAGTCTCTCGTTAATGTAATGTAATTGGTGAGAGATTACTTACATGCAGCAAATATGGTTCTTTACCTGCTACTGCATGTTTTATTTTTCTTCAGGTTATCTTCTGAAGACGGTGAAGAAGCTTCTGCTTATCTTTATGAAAGTGATGACTCTGTTGAAACAAGAGTGAAGACTCCGTACTCAGGTGAAATGGACTTACTAGGAGAGATCCTTGATACACTGAGCACACACAGCTCAGATCAGGGGAAGCTGGCAGCTGCAAAGAGCTTGGATTTCTTTAGATCAATGGATGACATTGATTACAAACCTACGGTGAGTCGGTTTTTTGACTTATAAAATTAGAAGGAAATAGTCTTGCCTTTGCTGTGATTACAGGATCTTATCATCTTTTTTGGTAGAAGCATTTAACCTCTAACTAGGTAAGGGTCAAAACTTTTAAAATATGATAAAATTTAATCACCAAAAATTATTTCTATTAATAAAATTCTAGCATTTTCCCTTTTATTTATCTAGTTCTGGTGTTTATTGTCATTAATTGAAATTATTTTGTCAAGCAGTAATGTTACTTTGCAATCCAATTTTATACTTGTCTCTGGGGAATTTTTAAAACGTGAAATGTGCCGGGTACAGTGGCTCACACCTGTAATCCCAGCACTTTGGGAGGCCGAGGCAGGTGGATCACGAGGTCAAGAGATCGAGACCATCTTGGTCAACATGGTGAAACCCCGTCTCTACTAAAAATACAAAACATTAGCTGGGCATGGTGGCGTGTGCCTGTAATCCCAGCTACTCAGGAGGCCGAGGCAGGAGAATTGCCTGAACCCAGGAGGCAGAGGTTGCGGTGAGCCGAGATCGCGCCATTGCACTCCAGTCTGGGCGACAACAGTGAAACTCCATCTCAAAAAAAAAAAAAAAGTGAAATGTTTTTACTTTTTCCCCATATTTTTTGAGTTAAAAAAAAAAAAAACTGTACTAAATGTATTCATTCAAATCGTCTTTTTCTGTTTTATTACTTTAAAAATGAAGAGGATTTTATTTTTTAACATGATTTTATGCAAATTCAACTGAATGCTTTAGAAACAGCAGAAATAGAATGAGTAATAACAGTCCTGTTCTAATTGTAAGTGACTTCGGAACTTGGTGTTAATTATATAATCTAGTTTGAATTTGATAGGCGATAGCTGCTAGGCAATGGAAACCAAAGTCCATTCCATTTCATCCCTGTTAATAGAGCCATTTGGAAATGTTTAAAATTAACTCTCAAGGCTATATTTTCTCTGGGAGGAACTTAATACTATTAACATGTATTTCAAAATGGGAAAAAATATACCAAATTAAGGCTTATTAAAAGTTTTCTGAATTTGTTGTTTCTTCGTTTTTCAGAATAAATCTAATGCTCCTAGTGAGAATAATCTGGCTCTCCTCTGTGGGGGTTCTGGTGACCAAGCAGAGTGGAATCTTGGACAGGATGATAGTGCCCTCCATGGCAAACACCTCCCTCCATCTCCCAGGAAGCGGGTTTCCTCTAGTGGTTTGACAGATTCTCTATTTATTCTGCAAGAGGAAAACAGTGACAAGCACTTCAGTGCTGACAAAGTGAGTGACCCTACTTCAGGATTGGATTTCCAGCTCACTTCCCCTGACGTTTCCCAGACTGATAAAGGAAAAACAGAAAAGAGGGAAACATTAAGCCAGATTTCAGATGATTTGCTTATACCTAGTCTTGGTCGGCATTCATCAACTTTTGTTCCCTGGGAGAGAGAAGGGAAAGAAGCCAAAGAGACTTCAGAAGATATTGGACTGCTCCATGAGGTGGTGTCATTATGTCATATGACTTCTGACTTCCAACAAAGCTTGAACATTTCAGATAAAAACACAAATGGAAACCAAACTTAAATCTTGCATCCAAGCTTCTATGGAGACATTTTGAGATTCAATGCAATGCGCATAATAAACAGAATTATTTGTAGGAATGGCAACTCTTACTATTTAATTTTTTTTTTTTTTTTTTTGCATTTGGAACATTTTCCTCACTTGTTCGTTTCAAGGATATATGAAATGCATTGATTTTTAAATATAAAGCGAATTCTACTGTGCTTTTAAATCAGGTACCAGTTTGTATGTATGTTAAAAGTATGTATTGAACATAAGATTTCCCAGTGTTTGGTGCTTAATGCCATCCATTTTATTTAAATTAACTTTGCATATATAACCCATGCACATAACCAGTAGCTACTATACTAATCTGGTTGAGCATGAACTGATCACGATATCAAAACTATCAAAACTAGCCTGAAACTGATGAAACGTTAACCCACTAATTGCCTTAATCTTAAAGCTGTATTAAGCATACTTAAATAATGTATGAAAGTATGTGTAAAGTTTGAAGGATAAGTTATTAGTGTTCTGCAGAGCAATAATGCCTTTTTCTGTTCATCAAGGTCAAAATTCATCTTTTCAAGATTAAAAAGCTCTCTTACGAAAATACTTAATTTGCTTATATAAAGCACTATAGCCATGTTTTCCAAAAAGTGTAAAAATATACATTTACCTTTCATTCAGTAAAATATATGAAGTACTGAATTACAATGTGAAGTTAATGACTTCTGTTTACAAATGAGATACTTTAAAAAGTTTTCACAGTCTCTCTGTATGCCTTTGCTATTTAGGGGTCCACCCAAGAAAGCCAAATACAACAAAAACTAGCCAGACAAAAAAAAAAATTCTTTTTTTTAACTAATAATCTCTATCAAAATGCTTTATATTATCATCTGAAATTCAGTTTTTAAAATAATTGACTTTATAGTTTAGAAGTTTTAGATTTACAGAAAAATTGCAAAGATAGTACAGAGTTCCCATCTATCCCTATTATTATTAACATCTTATGTTACAATGGTACATTTGCCCCAATTAACGAACCAATATTGATAGTCCATACTTTATTCAGATTTTCTTAGTTTTCTCCTAATATTCATTTTCCACTTCAAGATCCTATTCAGAATCCCACATTATATTGAGTTGGAATGTCTCCTTAGGCTCCTCTTGGCTGTGACAGTTTCTTAGACTTTCCTTATTTTTGATGACCTTGACAGCTTTGAAGAGTACTGTCAGATAAATTGTAGACTGCTGCTCTCTTGGAGTTTGCTGGATCTTTTTTTTTTTTTTTTTTTTTTTNTTTTTTTTTTCATGATTAGACTGAGATTATGGGTTTTGGGGAGATGGTCACGGAAGTAAAGTGCCATTTTCATGTGGTCAGATCTAGGGTACATACTGTCAACATGATTTGTGAATCCTGACACAGACCTTGATAACCTGGCCACGGTAGTGTTTGTGATTCTAAAGTTATTCCTGCCCTTTCCATGCTGTAGTTTTTGGAAGGAAGTCACTACATGCAGGAGTGAGGAGTCATAATTTCCCTTCTTTAGTGCAGAGAAGTATCTACATAAATTATTGTTAATACTTCTGTGTAGAAAATTTGTTTCTTCTTTCTCAGATTCACTGTTGAGTTTCGGAATTCATCTGAGAAAAAATCATGTACCGATTACTTAATGATAGACAGATAAACAGGTATAATCAGGGGAAGACAGCAGTGATAGTATGGTTAAATTGTTATTAGCATTTTCAGTATATACACTCTATACATCCCCAATCATCATTTTTTTTTTACATTTAAGACTATTTGTTCAAGAAATCATTAAAGAACCCCAGTAAGATGACATTTAAATATTTATTGAAAGAATATAATTTCAGTTAAAATCCTAGAAGAGAGTTTGAAATAATTTAAATATTTAAATTTTTAAAAATAATTTTTAAATAATTTTTAAATTGTTATTTTAAATAATTTAAAAATTATTTAAAAATTATTTTAAATAAAAATTATTTAAAAAATAATTTTAAAATTATTTTAAAAATTATTTAAAAAATAATTTAAATAATTTAAATAATGACCAAGGTTTTTTAAAACCTACATTTCAAAATCTAAGTGAATATCTGTTATTTGGTACACTTGTTCATTATGACTATACAAGCAGACAAGTCTTGTCTCCCTTTGTGGACTCTGTATGCATTAAGGAAAACAGTGTTTAATCCCCATTTTTTAATACAGAAGACTCAAGGTTCTTGTCAAATTTTGCCTTTATAAGCTTATTACAAAATTCCAACTTACTTTACTGAAGTTTATAATGGAAGAAGTCCATATATCAGAAGAGCTGTTTTAAATCAGAAGGAAAGGAGAAAAGGTTACTCTGGTTTGTTAATCCACTTGGCAAATATTCCTTCATGATTTGTGAAAAGAATGTAAATCAGCCTTTTAATATGAATTTTGAAATGAGGTATGGTATTTTGGGTTTTTTTTTTCAGAACTCAGAAGAATAACTGTGAGTAGAGCATAAGGGCAAATCTGGTTTTTAGTCCATTTGCTTAATCAACAACATGGCTTCAGAAATCTAAATTTTGTTCTACCTTTCAGCCACCTTTCAAGGCGTTTGGTTACAATACTCTTGTTTGGGGGATATTTAGCCACTCCTAAGTAAGACAGTTGTCTCAAGGTATTTAAAAGTGATTTGTGCCTTATTTTAATGCAAAATTAGCTGTTTTATTCTGTGTTAAAAACAAAAAACATCCAGAAGAATACTAGCAAGTATTTGTATTTCAAACCAGTAAAATTTTGAATATTCAAAGTCTGCTCTTAAAATTGAACTTCCTAGTATTATGGTGGATATAGTGAGAATAAAGTGAAATTGGGGTGAGTTCTGAAATAAACAAAAATTGTTATCTTATATTCTGCAGTGCTCATATTTTCTATGGTAACTAAACCAAATATTTGTAAGCTCATCTGCTGTTTGAAATTATTTTTCAAAGAAGCAGCACCTGTTATACAACAGAATTGTATAAACTAAAAAGACTTTTGGCCTTGGTTCTTAGCCTTTATCTGGCCTGTGATGGAGCCATGGTTCTTTCAGAATCCCACTCGCACTTTTATCTTTTTACCCTTAGATATTGCATCCGTTGTATTTCAGGGGTAGAGAGAAATAGTATATGAATTTAGCAGCTATTTTTTTTAAGTGAAAATATTACTAAGTGGTATATTTTGATGATTACCTACTTTAACGTGTCTTAGAAAGGCACCAAAATATAGCATGATTATTTTTTCAGTTAATTAAAATTAGTTAATAACATGTTCATTTAAAAACTATTCATTGACTTTTCATACCAGTTATATGCAGGATACAGTAGCTGAAGATGTGGGAAAATAAAATAACATAGTCACTGCTCTGAAGGAACAAATTAAAAGGAAAAGGAATTGAAAATTTTTATTAGAATAATAATAATGTGCTTTGCCTGGAAGTTATTAGCTGAGATTCTAACACACACACAAAAAAGTTTAAAAAAAAAAATCTAGCTGCTTAATTTAAAGCATGCTCTAAGCATGAACCCTACTATCATTTCTAATTTTATTAACTTTCTCAATTGTTACGCTAAATATTATGCTGCTAAGATATCCACATTTAAAGGGCAGATTCAGAGACTCTTTTAGAAGCTGAATGTCTTATTATTAATCTTATTAACAGATAAACAGGCAGCACAGGGCTCTCTATAATGGAATGATGCTCCTTTTCAATATTTAGAGCCACTGTACTCAGTTTAGGAGTAACTGAAGGTGTGGATGCATGTTAATGGGAATCCAATTTTTACTATTTTTATATGAATAACAGCGTTCTGTAGAAACAGTCCTTCCCTTTTAAATAAAAACTGTGACTGCTGTTACTAGTGCTATTCTATGCTAATGTTCTAACAATAGGATTCAGGAATTCTAATGAATTAGTTCTTTCTTAATTAAGGTGAGCAAGTAGATTTCCTGATCAAGAGAAAACTGTGAATGTCTCGATTGATAGACCTTCATTCTCTTGTAGAAAATTTGGATTTTTCAGGAAAAGATTCATTATTTTCATGAATAAATTTTCTTATACAAATTCTGTTTTGTTTGGCATAAAAGACCCTGAATCTTAAGATATTTGTAAATCAGAATATTTAAGAATGTAAAATGAATCCCAAAATCTAGTTTCCTCCAAAGTACTTCTTAATTTAGGAAATAGTTTTTACAAACCCTATGTCAGTACTAATGTCTCTTTCCTGAGTCAAGCCCAGTAATATTGTTAGCGTGTGTTTCTTAAACCTTATTTAAGAGGCGGACTGGTTTCAAGCAAGCCAGTTAACATGATTTGAGGAAGAAATAAGGAATTATATACATTTAGACAGAAGAATATTTTATTTTGAAAATAATAGGATTTTGTGCAATATTTTTTTCTTGCATAACTTAGTTCATATAAATATGTACATCTGGTTTTCTGGCAGATGCCTTAAGGTCATGTTTTTCAGTATTTGAGTAAATCTGTATGTAGCAATGTTCTTATTGATTTTAGGAAAAATATATTCTTTATATTGTTGCCAGGAGAAATGTTTGTGTTTATTTAAAATTATTATGAATATTGCGTTATTGTATCATAACTAACTGCCTCAGCAACAATAAATATGCAATAAGAAAATCCTGTACCTTAGATTCGTATTGATAATACTGTTTAAAAGAAATATATACGGTACAAATTGCTGATTCTACATGTGTACATTTAACAGATACTCACTTCTGCACCACCTAAATCAAAATGGCATTTGTATGGTGAGTCCACATATGTAGATTGTATTATCCTTTGTGATCAATCTTTGATAAGATTTATAAACGGCATTTCCAATACTTTCTGACTGTGTAAATTAAGTTAATTTTTTGTATGATGTACAGTTTGTTTAACCTTAGAGCTTCTATAGATTTCTACTTTTATTATACTTGAATGAGGCAGAAAAGCACTGTGGAAAATCTGTAGCTCTGGATGCAATATGCAAACATACCAAAAATATATATAAATAAATAAAGCAAGGTACTGAAGAGCAATGTTAACAGAACACTTTATATCCAGAATGCTGTTTTTTTTTTTCAAGCCACATTTGAGTTGAAGTTATATAATCTTTTATTTTAAAATGTTGGAAAGTTACAAATGATTACCTCTTTGATACGATGAACCTATAAATCTATTCATGTCTGTGTTATTTCATTTCTCAAATGTGAGCCTTGTTGAAGTCCGTAATCAAATCTACCTTTAGTTGATTATATGATGTTTAGGACAAAGCAAAATTTAAAAACGGTGCATGTTAAATGCATCACAGGTCAAGTCACCATCCTTCAGACAGTGTAACTTCCATAAGGTTATTTTGAGAACCATTTAATAATCATATTTGGAAAACTCGATTTCTTGAGTCTGTTGCAATTTAGTACTTATAGCAGTGCCTAAAACAGCAACAAATATGAACTGCATGAGTCCCAGAACTTAAAATGCATAACGCTTTCTTATGTAAAAGCCACAGGAAGGATTCAAAATTGAACTTTTCCAAAGTGTATTTCTCTTGCTTTAGGTGAAGAACTATTTAAAAGGACCTAAAAGCCTGAGCTTTTTGCTCATCTTGGTAGCAGATATCTGTAAAAACTTACCCAGAATTGTGATTTACTTCATTGTTCTTGCATCCTTGAGGCTACAGTGTAAATCATCTCCAGACTTGACTACTATTGGGAAGATGTATGTGAAAGCATCGCTTTGGGAATTTTTTTTAAAATATGCAAATAAAAATATTGAATAAACTCTACATTACCATAAAGCCCCCTACAATGCAGTTCTAAAATAAAATTGGTCACAATCAAACTTGTATGGTGATGACTCTTCTTTTATAATTGCACAGTTATCCCCCAACAGGGCTCTAGCTGGACTGCTGTTAAAAACCCTAATACCTCTGTCTCTGAGCTTTGTAACTGCTGCACTGTAAACTGAAGCCTACATCTTTTCTGACAGGCCTACCTGAGAGGTCTACTTTATTTTATTCTTTTATGTATAGTCAACAGATTTTATTAGGCTCTAAAGTCATAGGAGAATTGTTAAGTACTTAAAATGTCACGAAGGATATGAGTAAGACTATCCAAATCAAACAACTGTGTTTACTGACACCATTTAAGGTTTAAGGACAGAGATGAAATGTAGTCAAGTGTACATGAACAATGCTCCAGGGACCAGAAAGATGAACTGCTCATCCAAGAGCTCTGATCGTTTCACCTAAATCGAAGGTCAAATTCC